AAAAAAAAAACGAAAAAAAAAAAAAAAAAATGAATAAATAAAAATAAAAAATAAAAAAAAGAGTGCAGAAAAGGATACTGTATTGCGAATTATATTACTAACCGGGTGTTGTTCTTCTTCTTTCTATTTATTCTGCTTCCCACTGTGACTCCTCGTCCCAATCGCCGCCGTCGGATCGCATCCAATATCGTCGAAAATCGATTCGAAACGAAAATCGCACACAAAACTCTGTAAATACGACGAAAAACCGGGGCGCAGGATCGACCGATTACATTACCGATCTCTACGATTCTTCAGGTAAGTAGCATGGAGTTGCAAGCTAATGGAGAACAGAAAAAAAAAAAAAATAAATAAAGAATAATAGCTCGCTTGAATCGCAAAAAAGTACGGCAAAAGCAAGATTTTAACACGCTCGATTTTTGCAAAATCATCGATTCTCACCGCAAGATTTCTCTTCTTCTTCTTCTTTTTTTTTTTTTTCTTTTTTTAAAGCTGCTCACAGTACGACGCTTTTCTGCTTATTCCATCTCCTCATTACTAAACCGCATCGTCGACCGCATCTTCGCAAATCATCCATAGTATCATGGAAATTATTGGAAACGTTGTTTCAATCACGACGATCATTAGCGCAACGCCTATGATCGATTGCTTTAGCTGCTAATCGCTTCGAAATCGGTGAATGAGTGGTGGAAAAGAAAGGCAAAGACGGAGGAGGGGAAAAAATGATTAGAGAGATCGTAGATTGGCACTGTTGCAGATTGCGATCACAATGATTGAATATGTAATAAATCTAATCCGATTTTCTTTAATCTCAAATTACTGGAACACCGTTTCACGATTGCAATCACGATTGATCATTAGCGTAATTTCTACTTATCGTTTTTAATCGCATCAACGTCAATGGGAATGAATGGAAGAAGGAAAGAAATGCGAAAGAAAGGGAAGAATGGTAGCTATTAATTAAATTAATATCTAATCAATTACTGATTGATATAATGCCTATCGAATATTATCGCATTACGAATAAATCCATTACCATGAGAATGAATGGCGAAAGAGAGGGATTGCAAAAATATTGCTACAAATCGCTATTGATCAATACAATATCTAATCTAAATTACCATTGCCATTGCTGATCGCGAATAAATTCGTTCCAAAAAAAAAGAAAGAGATCGTAAGTTGCTAAAATACTGCACAAATTGATCGATATAATATTATCGCATCACGAATAAATTATTTATTACCATTACCATAAGAATGAATGGCGAAAGAGAGAGAGAGATTTGCTAAATTACTGCTTCAAATTGCTGCTATTAATCGATTACCATTGCCATCGCTGACCGCGAATGAATCCAATATCGGAAGAACGAATGGCGAGGGAAAGAAAAGAAAAGAGAGAGAGAGAGAGAGAATGAACACAAATGCTTGATAGGAGCACTGGCTTGCCCGAAGCTAATTGTCGCTAATGCCGCTGGGAACGTAACGATTAGTCGACGAATTAGTAAAGCAGAGTTCGTGCCTCTAGTTGAGAAGCATTCCCCGCATGCCATACGTGGCTCATAAACGGCTCGTCACCGTAATCCACATGCCGTATCATACTGTGTACTATGGCGGCACCCTGATACCGATAAGAGTTCACTCGCGCGTACGTCCAAGCGTCCTTGCAGCTGAGCTCAACAGGATACGCAGCCTGACAAGACCGTCCACCGAATCCTACGTGGAAAAGTATCTTCAATCGAAGGATCGCATCGTAAGTCTGCCTAAGATATCTCCTTCGATATCTCTGTTTCAACGCAAAGAAAAAAAAGAAAAAAAAAAGTGAGAAAAAACAGTCGCATCGTTCACGGCCATTAAGCATGAGTGTCGTCACCATCATCATCACCATCATCATCATCATCATCATCATCATCATCATCATCATCCATGTCGTCGAGACACGCCCGAATCATCGAATCATTCGTGCATCTCTTCACGATTACAACCCGTTGTTCTTCGACGACATCTGGCATCATCGTTCGGCGGAATCGCGTCGTCTTTTTTACACAAGATCGAATTTTTTATACTTTTACGATTGTCATCGAGTACATATACATATATATGTATTATTATATTATTGAGAATTTATCTCAATTACTCGAAGCATGTCTAAAATTATTGAAATTTTTAAATATCCCATTTTGTAACACCGCGATTATATATATATATATTTTTTTCGATTTAACCGAATAACGAAACGATCGTTGTTATTGGCTAATACTAATTCCTGTCTCAGAAACAGAGCGAGAATCTTCGCACTGTATATTTTACGTATCTCTCTTCACAGTACTTCGACGACGAGGCGAGGGAAATACGTGCGAGAGTGGATTCCCTTCTTC